GGGAGCCGCCGTCCCGAGCGGCCCAGAAAGCCCCTGTTCTCCCCTTTCTGTGTCCCTCGTGTGACATGAAAGCCGGGCCCGTCTCTCTGTCAGGTGCCAGTCCCGAACCCGGTTTAGGAGAACGAGACGGGCTAAGGAAAAAACTAAAATAAAAAAACTTTACGTGCTTTTCTATACCCGTGAAGAGAAATGTCCCTCTCTTGTAGGTGGAAAAAGCTGGAGGAAAACGAGTGGAAAATAGAGTACTTGATACCTAGTGCATATTCTGATGGCTCTCACCATTCTTCTTGTGCAGATCATATATTTGAAAAAGTGAATCCTGAGATGGAAAAGCTGGGATACGAGTGCAAGTGCCTTGGAGGAGGGAAAATTGATCACAATAGCAAAGACAAGAAAATCAGGGTATTTGGGCTCTCTACAGTAAGTGCATCTCGTATTCATTTAAATCCTTTTGTCTCTGATGTTCTGTAGTATGGTGGTTTTTGGCAATTTTCATCACATTAACTGGAAAACCCACCTGGCTCACTTGTGAGATAGATTAGCAAAACAATAGTTTTAGGGTGGGAGACCAAAAAGATAAAGTTGGCTATTACTCAGCATTAGGTTAAGTTATAATCAAGACCAAAAATGAAAGTAGACATCTCTTGATCCAGTCTTTCCATCTTACTGCTAGAGCAGGAATGGCCCATTTGTAGCTACAGGGACTTGATCCAGTTATTGCATGATCTTTATTTGCCAACAAAAGTGTTGAAAATCGTGTCTGTTACTCTGTGTATATGTTGGGTGAGAAGAGTAGACCCGGTTTAGGTGTGAATTTTTAGTAGGTGAAGATGTAGTAATGTGTTTTGTGGAATAAAAATAGCATTTTTGTTACTTCTTATATTTCCATGTAAGCTCAGTTCCTTTAGGAAAGACTTAATAAGTGTTCAGCATTTCTCTAATGCAGGGAAATGCTGTAGTCTGGCCCTGGTGTTGCTCAGTGATGAAGCATAGCTGCTTCTGTAGTAATAACTGTGAGTAAAGATTCTAGGCTTTCAATTTAGACAGGAAGAAAATAGTTCTATTAAGTTCCTTTAATTTTCTATAGTAAGTGATGGTTACTTCAAATTTGCTTACCTTAAATGAGTGGTGAAGGTTGGGCCTTGAATGTTTGTTAGTGATGCTTTTGTTCCAAGATGACTCTTGGCACCTGGAATCATAAGAAAAAAAAACCTCTTTAGGATTTCTGTGGGGTGGGAAAGCAGTGCTTCTTTTGTTAAAATCTTGTAATTTTAAGTCCTCACCACAACTGTGTCTTTAGGTGAGACTTCACACCTATGTTACTCAGCTGCCAAACTAGTGTTAATGGCAGTGGTCAACTCTTGCTTTTGTTATCTGTGCAAAATACCTCATTTCTCTGCTTCTGGTACTTTGATGCTTACACAGGAGCATGATGTAAAATCAGAGTTTTATTGCCATGAGGGCTTGTCAGGCAGAGACCTGGAGGGCCAGATGACCTCAGTTGCAGGTCAGAAGTTAACATATTAATTACATTGGTTTAATGCTTCTCTTGACTTGGAAGTTTGTTGTCAGATTCTAAAGCAGAACTAACCTGGTTCTTTATGGAAATCAGAGAAATAGTCATTGATTTCTTTTGAAGTAGATGTTGTGTTGCTATTTGCAAGGCTGGATGGGGTCTTTAAAGTGGTTACCAAGGTAAGAGTGAGCTCTTTTGAGTGTAAAGCTCTTGCTTTACAACTGGCATAACTACATTATTTGGTATTTTTCAGAAGTGTGAATTTTATAACACATCAATTTTAATCTGTGCAGTTTAAATGCAGTTTATTTAAGCTGTTCCTCTTGGGGCTGAGTCAGTGATGAATAAGAGTACATGTTTTGTGTGATAATGCTGTCTTGAGCTATTTTTTTTCTGTCTTCTAAGTGAAGTGTTGTTTGAAATATTACTGGAAAAAGAAAACAGCCCGTAAATCACAGGTTTTAATCAGTACACTGCACTGTTGTGCAGTAAAGGCTTTTTCACAGGGAAAAAAAATTGCAGTTCTATTATAAGAAATCAAGATAACACATTCAGTCATGTAAGACAATAATGGAAAGGCAACTTCTACCACAACTGGTTTAAATTTCAGTGAAAGTAACACTGAGCAGTGATTTAAATGAGGGTTAAAAATCACATGGGTCATCTGACCTTGCCTTAGTTTGGAATTGCAGTGGCATAAGAGCACAGATACTTAAAACTAAGCAATTATGAGCTAAGGCAAGATTGCAGATAAATAAAACATGAAGACTGATTTCTTTAGTGGCTAGAAGAGTACTCAAATGTTTGCACATGTGGTGCCTTATTCCCTTTTCCTTCAGCTGAGCCAAATCAGATGTTTGTATGCCCATACATTAAAGTGGGTCAATGCAATCTCTGTGGTTTAAAAGAACATTCAGCAAATACAGTGGCTGAGGGGTTTGAAACACTTTAAAACAAGCTTTCTGATGGAGAAATCATGTGAAAAATGCATCCTCCCACTTGAGATTGCTTGACCCCATCTCATTTATTTTCTAGATCTTGAATTAGGGGAGGAGTTGGAGAGGACAACAGGAAAAAATGATAATTCAAGAATAATTCTTTTAGAACCTGTATTTGATTTGTATGTGAACAACTTGAAGTATCAAATCACAACTGGATCATTTGTGTAGACAAGAACTGGATGGTTCTGAACACTTACTGTACATGTCCAATAAACATTTGTTCTGTCTTGCAGGGCTATGGAAAAGCAGATCACTCAGTGACTGTAGAGATACTGAAGAAAGTGTATACAGACTATGAAATTACATGGTCAGATGACAAGAAATAAACTGTGAACACAATGAGCAGTTCAAAACTCCTAACTGTGAGCTGTACTTTGATTATAAATAAAAGTTCAATGTGTCCATGTATGTAGGCATAAATCTGGAGTAACTGGACTCTGCAGTAATTTATAATACTGTCATTAATCCCCAGAGATACCTCAGTTTTCATTCCTTTGTGCAGAATATGTAGTTCTAAGCCTTTTCCTCTCCTTTTGATGTGCTGTCTAATTAAACACTTCCACATTATCTGACCTCCAGTTTGTTTTCATCCAGTCCTGTCTCACTGATATATTTTAGGACACATCAGGATTTTGCCATCAGCTTAAAACACCACAGGACCAAACCTGTTCTCTTGTCTTTTGACCAGAGGTTTTTTTCAGTTTCTTTTATTTTTCTATCACTTTTTAGGCTTTTCATCTTATCCACACTAACAAAAATTGGTGTGGAGGGTGGAGTTGGCTGTTACAGTTCTTCACCAATGATCTAAATCTTTGATTTACTCCGTGGTTTTGAAAATCCAGCATCTGTGTTCCATAAAAGTAATGATCAATGTTTTTGGTGTTCCTGTAAGATCCTCCCCCGTAACAGACTGATGGCAATGTCAAATTCTGCCAATGCTCCTTTCCTTCTGATTCCCCTATATCACTTTTATTCCCTGTGAGAATAATCATGCTTTTTTTCCTTTCTCTTTTTTTCCAGCAATAATTGTTATAACCACCTCCTGGCAAACCCAGTACCCCTAGACAGTGTGTGAATTAACTCACCTGCTTCCTGTTGTGGCAGGATGTTGCCCTTTATTTGTTGTGAGATGACTTGCCACAAATTTCACTTTTTTTGTTTCCTGCCAGTCTACCTTTAATTCACTTGTGGATTTCAAGGGAACACATTGTTGACTTGCAGCCTTCAAGAGGTATTTGTGTATAAATTCTAGTTCTTCCCTTTGCTGTGGCTCCTATTGCACTTATCCACCAGTATCTGGTGGTATAGAGTAGCTGCTTCTTTTCAATGTGCCTGTGACTCTCACAGTAAAAACTATGAAATTTGAGAGGCTTTAGTCCAGTTTCTATCACAAATAAAAAAAAATCCTGCTGTTACTGCCTTGTTACACTAGTTACCCATCTTATGTCACCTTTCTGTGGCTTTGTTTTGGTTGAGCAGAGAGGAATTTCCTGTTCTTATCCTCAGAACTTTCAGTCCATTCCTCATTAGCAGAGTTCAGGTATCTCCATCCCAATAATCACCTCAGAGCAGGATCTCTTGAACCTGGTGCTGCACCACTTCAAATGCCATAATGATTGCATTAAGATTCTGATTTCAGAGCATGATTAAATGTCTGTGTGCCTCCTAACCAAGAATAGCATACAGGTCAGTAATTTGCAAATTGGGCACTTCCCACTTCCATTCTCATGTTTTTTTTTTTTCCCCCCTAAGCTCTAGTAAAATAACTGTAATTGCCAGTATACAAACCTGATTTTTAAATAGCCTCGTTTCCCAAAACTAGCAAATGCTCTTGAAAGGGAAGTCATCAGTAAGGATAGTATCTGTTAAAATAAACAAGCTTTTTAATTTAGTTTCCTGAGGTATTTAATGAGTGATTTTAATCTTTCTCTCCACGACACTTACGGGAAAGACCTAATTTAGACCGGATTTCTTATTGTAATGGCTTGTTCAAAATGTGAGGGGATGGGATGAGGGGAGAAAAAGCAGGTATTTTATGTTGAAACACCAACAGAACAACCAGCCAACAGAACTAAGTGTTGAATCCTGCTGCTTCTCAGCATCTATCTACTGAATTTTAAGACCAGAACTCATTTGGAATTATGAAAATCCCAATGCTAATTTTGCTGATTTCACCTGAGAAAAACATCCTTCATTATTTCCCATCTGTAACTCTGAAAGGGGAATTTAATTATACTGTGTGGGGTTACCTGTTTTGCAGGTGTGCAGCCACTGAGACTATGGCTCTAGCAGTCTTCTGCTGAAGTCCTAAAACATCTGATGCTGTATTTGCACAGAAACAGAGCTATGTTTGAGCAAGATACTCAGTAAAAGTGTAGTATTTAAACCTAAGACAGCAAGTTTGATCATGGGATATTATCTAGAAGAAATGTTATAGTAGAAGATTGTAAGTACCTTCTTCCTTTATTCATCAAAAAATACTTGCTATTCTTGTTCTTAACCATATTCTTTGTCATAGTGGTCAGCATTTCTTATTATTTCAGGTGTGGTTCTCTGACACAGCACCAGACTCAGCAGGTGTAGAACAATCCGTGTGCAAGCCATGATTTGTCTTTGTCAAAAAGGTTTGAAAAATGGTAAATCAGTTTGTTTCCAGCTTCCCTGTTCCAACAAAAACTGTTAACAGTAATTTCTTGATCTGCCAAAGATAAAACCTTTGTTCCTCAGTTTGTAGCCAGCAGTTATCTGTTGTCAATAAGTTTCAGAGTCAATGAGAAAAATTTCCAAAGCACAGTGACAGTCATGGTACAACTTACTGCGCTTTTCCTCCCTCTCCTAGCCTATGAAAGGCCAGATTCACTAGTTTCCAAAGGACCACTTTAAAATAGTCTGAAACAACAGTAGTTAAGGTTCTTCTGTAAAGTACAGGAAATCCTCTATGACTCTGTCTTAATAGCAATAGGGTCAAAATAGGAATCTTTAGGCTGATGTTCATAGTCTTCAGTGATGGGAACTTTTATGCAATAATTAAAGTGATTTAGGTTGCTGCTGTAATAAGTTTTTCCATCCCCTCAAACTGTTGTCCCTTCTCCCCTACACTGAGTATCCCTGCATCCAGTTTACTGCACTGGTTGACTATCTCTTTTTTTTTTTCTGTCTCTTTTTTTATATTTCTGCAAGGGCTCCCATCATCAGTGCATGATGAGAAGCAGTAGCCTTGATCTACATGTTAGAGCTGTGTAATGGCTTTTTGTCTCTTTTTTTGTTAAGACAAAACATGCAATGGATTTGGTTTTCTTAGTTGCTGGTGACACTGAGCACTCAGGACCGGAGTTTTTTATTTCTTTGGGTTTGTTTGCATTTTTGGTAAGGCAATTTCTTCAGCACCATCACTGTCTTCAGCCTAGGAAACAGCAGTGCCTTGCACACAGGCTTTTCTGAATGCTTTCTCTCCTGCCAAACTGCTGAAGAGATGAAAGAGGTGTGGGTGCTCAGTAAAACCCCAGCAAGTTTTCGAAAATGGGGCAGTTAATTTCTGTAAAAAACCTTTTTTAAAAAAAAGTGCAGCAATGTAGTTAAACTGTGCTATTACAGTGATTTGTCTCCTTTCCCAGCTGTCACCTAAAGCTCAGTTCTGCCATCCTCCACTGTTGCACTCATAGGCTTACTGGCTGGTTGTTGTAAGGAGCTCCTCTTGTGTACAGACTTTCGAGTCAGCTTCTGAAACAGAATTGTTTTATTCATTTCTAAACCAGCATCACTTTTCCCAATTACTTGCTTGAATAGAGAGCGATATGTCAGAATCTGAATGTGAATATTCAGAGCCCACAGCAGTAGATATTCTCTGGTACACTTTTTCAAAGGCTTGAGCAAGTCATGTGTGCATTACACAGGGAAATATTACCCGGATTTGTGAGATCGGTGGCAGGGTAGGACACAAGTGATAAATACAATCACATCCCCCTCTGGTGGCAAAACAGCAGAGCTCACCGGTGCGTGGTCTGTGCCCAAATCTGGCTGCAGTTAGACCGTACCTGAGGGAGGCCCAACCCTCGAGAAAAGCCTCTTGCACTAATTCAGGATGCTAAATTGTCTCATTCAGCTACAGTATGTCACGTCATTCCTGGGTCATCCCACGAGACATATGTCATGCAGGTCACAGCTGTTCCTGTGACATACAATTCTGGTGCTGACAAAGTGAAAGGGGAGGACTGGGGACAGTGACTTCCTTAATTTTTAAATACATATCAATGGCAATTAATTAGCAGAAACAGATGCTGCTTTAAGCAGAACTCCATTTTTCCATGCAAAATCAGTGTCAGAAAAGTCCTTTGCTTCTAGTCAGATGGAGTTTGTCAAACATTTCAATAACCACCATCCTTAATTTGTCAACCAGAATAACAGAGGAAAAAGCAAAGAGATAGGAGGATTAAAACATTTTTAAGTTATTTTTTTAAGGACTAGTGGTTGAATTTTAACTGGAATCTTTAAAGGCCATTTCCATAATGCATCGCTGCAGTCCCTGATCAATGGTTTTAATTATACTGGTTCTAAACACATTTCTCTCTTCAATGAATTTCTGAAAGAGGTAGATACCACCACCAACCCCAAAATAATGCACTTTGCTTGCCAAATACACGTGGCCATTTTTATCCAAGAGCTGAGCCAGCGCATCATGCAAAGCACTGTAATAATCAGGATTATAGATGGTCTCAGATGTGAGAATTATATCATACTTTGAAAAGGGTTTGTTGCTGCTTAACAGGAGCTGGGTGACTTCAGACCACTCTCCAGAAAAAAATCTGCATTTGGTGAGCACATCAGGTGAGCCCTCTGCTTTCTTGGGCCTCTTGGCAGGAGGTTTGCTGGTTTTTCTGTCCTTTCCACTAATGCCTTCATTTACACAGTTGGCCACCACGTTAGGCAGGGTTATTTCCTCAATCACTGTGCTGTTGTAGTCCTGAAAATGGACTCTTTCAGCTTTACCTTTTAAGGCAACTATTCCCAGCAATCCAGCCCCGCAGCCAAGATCCAGTACAGTCTTGTTGGTAAACTGTATTTCAGCCTCAGAAAAGTAGTCCATGAGATCAAAGGTGCATTCCCAGATTTTCAGTCCTCCTTCATAGACTCCTGGGATGAGATCAGAGTGAGAAGAGACACTTTTGGACACGATGCCTTCGCTGTCGGCGTCACCCAAACACGTCATTTCCAGCACAGACACCTTTACATGATACAGGTCCAACACTGTTTCCATGACTTTGTTTTCCAATATTTTGTTGAGATCTCCAGGTATAATGTGCTCCTTGGCAGCTTTCACACAGTGCTTTGTCTTGGGTGCCTCATCCTGGTGCTTTGCAGCACCTGGCCTTGGGATGGAGTCTGCTCCAGCATCGGCAGTTTTCCTGCTCTGTCCCACGGGTTCCTGCTTGTGTTTTGGAGAGCCCAGCAGTAAGAAGTGAGTGTCTGCTTCACTGTCCTCATTTTCATCAATATCAAAATTAAATCGAAAATCCATTTTCAGGAATAACAGTTTAAAAATGCCAGCTTAATTTATTACAGCCAGAAACACTCATTTAAGAGCAAAGCTGATACAAAGGTGATCTTTTTTTTTTTCTGGCTTTTGTCTTTTTGTAGGGGATATTTTGATGTCTATACTGCTGCAGGAAAGAGTACTTTGTACTTTGCAGGTAGTGTATCAGATGTTTTGCCAATAGCCAGGTGAATTACTGCTGGAAATAGAGTAAATAGTTTTACATATCATTAATATCAGCACGAACAGTCTAGTTGTAGCATCCTGACTTTCATTAAAAGGCTGCCCAGGGAGGTAGTGGAGTCTCCCTCTCTGGAGACGCTCTCAGCCCCCTGGACACGTTCCTGTGTCCCCTGCTCCAGGTGACCCTGCCTTGGCAGAGGGGTTGGACTGGATGACCTTCCAACTCCAATAATTCTGTGATTAAAAACCCCCACCCTCTAACCATTTAAATTTTAGAAAACAGAGCGTTACGGGGACCACATCTGTCACATAATACAAATACAGGCAAGGAAATCACCGAATCACAGAATGAGCACAGCCGGCAATTCCGGTAAAACCCACATTCCAGACTCAGCGTCTCAAGCAGCGCAAACTCCCCTGCCCTTC